CTGTTGAACCGCACACACTCAAACCTTGTGTGACTAATTGCGTTGACAAGCTTCGGCGACCCACTTTTTTGTATTCTGTGAACGGCGAGATGGGAGAGTGTTGACAAAGGTCAAGTGAGGCGGGGCCGAGCTGAGCTGATTTTAGTGGAGTGCAGATGCAGATCTAAATTTAGGCATTGACAAAATACCGTTCGTTCCGGAATTGCGATAAACAAATGTAATCTGTCCGGGGAAAGAACCTTCGGATTGCTATAACTGGAGCTAAATTACCACGAGTCATTTGTTTTCAGTGAAATCACTGGTACAAGGCTTGAGATGGCATTGAGCCTTTTCAGTGCAGCGTGTAATCTGTTCTAGATTGCACAGTTGATGTTCCTCTGCTTTTCTCAACAGGCTGCATAGCAATGTATCCCCGAATGCACACTGTACACAATCACACACACACACGCTCGCGGTTAATACTGACTAGATTTCTTAATTCGCTTCATTTGCCTATCTTGTTCAGTGTTATACGTCCGCGACCGACGAGATTATACGAAAGGAATTCCTCTCGCAGTGTTTATCTTCCAACTTTCCCGTTCAAATTCATTACGGGATCCAAATGTTTCACTAATATAATCGTCTGGTCTTTATAGAGCCTCGAGTTTCATCTTCTCCAGATGAATAATCTTCGCTAAGTCATGCAGCAACTGATAGGAGGTTAAAGGTGGTGAAATTACGGTCTTTAGGGAACATGCGAAAGATGTGAGCAGCGAGTTTAGTTTTTGTAGGTTAGGGTAAACTTTCTGTTTGGAGTCTTGCGGGACAGTCGGGTTAATTATGAGTCTGAATTGCGCAGACACTGATCCGCTCGGATTTATACGTGTTCCTCAGATTCAGCATATTTTTTCATCTGACTTTACCAGTTTTCTTTCACTCAACCTCGACTTTTTCTCATGCTGTTGAATTCGCCCACACTTGGAGAAAATAATGAATAAATCAGTTGCACGGCAATCCAGGACACATGGTAGAACATATTTAATTGTAGAGACTCTTCCTCCCAAATTGAGCCGAAAATGTCAGCAATCGGTAGTCTTTCTTTTAACCTATAGACAACAGCGCCAGATCCCCACATCAATCACTACAAGCTTAACGAAAGCAACACTCAAGGGATTGGCAAAACTTGCGATAACACATCAACGCTACAGATCACTCTACTTGGCAAATGTCAAATAGATTTTTTAGACTCGCCTCGACACCTGATCTACTATCAGATAGGTCATTCAGCTGTCATAGTTATAAGTGCTGATTTATCACTGATGCCGTCAAAACTGCAATTGAAGCTGGACGTGGTATGAAAACGTTCATGATGAACATATGAGCTCCGTTACTTGCGGTCTCTAAACATGTTTGCGGTTTAACAACTATTAGGGGTAAAATGAAGCTGAGTAGAGAAATGATGGCTGGGTTTCACTGAGAATGTGCTACTCGTTGCTTACAGAATAGTTTGTAAAAATAATGACTATAACGGAGAACGAAGCTGCACTACGCACATTGGCTCGTCGCACTTGAACAAATAGTCTCTCATAAAATGTTTTTCATCACGCATTGTATCCGTTTACACCTCTGAATTTTCCTTCCGGTTCGGTGTGAATTGATTTGTGGAGTCAAGAAATTCCTGGTTGGCTTATTGAAAAAGCTGGAATGTACTTTCCATCACCTGTTTCATTGTTTAACTACAACTAGAAGTGGTTCACAAATTACTTTATCGTTTTACCTCACCTTACTCAAATACAGACTATAAACAATGAAGTATTGACTACTTTAAATAGTCATGGCGGAACGGAACGGAATGGAATGCTGTGCGCATTGCTTGTATTGTTTACTTTGATAAAATTAATTCCAATTTGCTTTTACATGGTGATTTTTCGGTTAATTGAGGAATTACCCTTCTATTGGATGCCACAATCACTGAAGTATCCTTCTTGTATTTCAGAGAATCCCGAGGATCAAACCTTTCCCTTCCCACCGGACAGTCCTGTTGGTCTTTTCTTCTCCAACCAGTCAATTCAAGTGTTGCTAGATTTACTTCAACAAAGTTCTAATCCTTGCTCGCTTGAAGCAACTTCTGGGATCCTCCAGAACGTGACCGCAGGCAATTGGAGTCCAGCGCAGTACGCTAAGAAAACGGTAATTGCACAGTCCTAGCGTTACAATTTCTCAACTGCTGGCTTGTTTATTTTAACCAATACTTAACGAATATTGTGAAAATCTAGGAAAAATCATTATGTGGGAAATGTTTAGGCAGGAATTTTTGGACAGGTAGGTATCTTTGATCTACACATCAATTTGAATGTGATGACCTTCAGGCACTGATCTGATATTCACTCCTTTGGACTGCTTTACAGGAGGTGGTTTACGGTGATCATTCGTCAGTTTTTTTACTCTTTGAGAACCTTGCCTAGATAGAGTGTAAATTCAAAATGATGAACTTCGTTCCATTGTTTGTCAAACGTTTTCAACAAGATGGGAGTGTTCATATGATCTGACCGTCCTTCAGACTTCCTCTTCACGCACAATCTTCAGTTGGTTCAGCCAATTATACACTTGGCTGGATTTTCTCTCTCATTAAACCTGTTCAGTAGCGCATATCTGTCGTCGTGTCCGGACTTTGAACTCCGGATCCATCACGTGGAAGGAGTAACCATCGTGCCAACCACCTCACACCGGCTGACCAGAACTACCAATTCAGATTTGTTCAAATGCTGTTTTCAGTGATATTCAGGCAGTTACTTGGGCCCAACAGCAATAAAATGTATAAATGTAGCTTATTCAAAACCGCTACTCACAAGCAACTGTATTTCGAACGCGCAAATAATGATAAGTATTGAATTTATGTACATGCTATTGGCAAAGAATTGTGTTAGTTTTAAGAAGTAATAGTAAAATGCAATCTAACTAGAGTTATTTGGTTCTAACTAATCCATAATCATGATTTTTGCGCACAGCTGTTCAGGAGACGCCTTATTTTGCCTTTGTGTTACAAGCTTTTCGGTTATGTGCTTACTTGTGGTTATCGACACATCAAAATCGGGGTAATACATTTGGTTACTCTCAAATTGTAAGTAGTAATAGTTCGTTTCCAAAATCCGTTCTACATTGTCTTGGAATTACTGTTGCCTCCCTGCTTCACATGCGACCAGTTCACAATGAACACAACGAATCGGTGGTGTGCATATTTTTCACCAAAAATAAACACAGACCATATAAGTGCTCGTTCTATTCCTTCTTTTGCTACGTCAGTTTTAATAGGTGTTCCATATGAACTGTATGTTTAAAATGTCACTCCCAAATTTCACCTGATCAATCCACATTTCGGAAGCATTCTGCAAACGATTTTGACGGACAGGCTAAGCGTGTTAAACCACGAGCAGATCACATGTTTTATTCACAACACTAATCAACAGCCACATAATTTCTTCCCAATCATTATGACTCACACAAATTTTTCACCGAACTACAAGATTTTCTTGGGCAGTTGTGCACAGCAAAGGGCATGTGTGCATTACTTCATTCTGTCTGGTATGGGTCGTAACAGCATCGCAGTTTGTGGTCAGAGCAAGGAGAATTTTAACAAGACCGGACAGGTTCACATCAGACTGTTTTAGCAGTTACGTGCCACGAATTCGATTTAACTACGGAGATACAGTAAGTGAAGGGAGTAATGGTCAGTCAGCACATCACATCTGATGACTCAGGGATTCATGGGCAGTCATGACATGACCTGTCTCATCCTCATAGCCCAGTTGGACGCAACTGCCTATCGTTTGTTCAGCTGGAGACATCGTGGCTTCTGTTTTACATGGCACAGCTCTCATGATCTCTCAGCTGCATTTCTCACTAATGAGGACAATCATTTTTCTCTGTCTGTAAGGTCCGTTTTTCCTGAATGTGTCTATCATAGGTATTTTCATCCGCGAAGTTGCAGTCAACCGAGAAAATTCAAGCTTGAGCATTTCAAAAACGCTGTTTTTCAACAAAAATGCGTCTTCCTAAAAACGGATATCAATATTCTGAATAAACCTATCGGTTCACTTAACACTTCGGGGTCTTGTTCCAATCAGTGACCAGAGCACTATTTAAATGAATCAAGATATGGAAATGAATCACGAGAACTCACTAAGAGACCTCGGTTTTTATTCACTGGATTTACGAAAAATGTGATTTGTGAAACTTATTCTTCCGAAGACTCGATCCCAAAGTTTATTTTCGAAAATTCACTTAATATATATATATAATATTTATTTTATCGGATTCAAGCTTTGTCTGTACGAAATCAGCTTCTGAATCTTCGTGACAAGTGATGAAACATTGCGTCTGTTCCCTTTTGGAACATGAACTAACAGGAGCTTGTAGGAATCATGAACTACAAAAGATGACTACACGAATGGTTCATTTGATGAACTATGAATTATCGGGATTGAATCTAGATATTTGGCACGATACCGGAAAAGAAAGCAGCAGACAGTAAACCATTAACAGTGTATTCGAGGTCTTTCCACACGTCACTAACTGGGAATAAAAAATAGGCAACTCGTGATCGGACTGATATCGTGAGTCCTTGACGCAGAACCAACCGTAGAAATCAATGCAGTGGTTTACAATTGATGTTGTACAAATCGTGTTGAATGGGATGCGATAATACGTGAGCTAAATAATACTTTAAACGGGCAGCGCGTGAATAGTTAAATCCAAATAGACGGATCCCCATCGTA